CATATAACAATAGAGAAATGATTAAGTAAATTGTGGTATCCATATGTCAACATTAAAGTGATTAAAATGATGATTCTGTGGCTGTATAGAAAAATGTTTATAGACTGTTAATAAAGGAAGTAGAACAGAAATTAGATACCTGTTGCAATAAAATTCTATTTACATGTTAATGAAAATTGAAAGGGCATTTAAAACTATTGAAAACTCTTTTATGGGTAATGTAATTATAGTGAAATTTAAACATTTTAATTTTATGATCAGAAGGTTATAGCGACTCAAAAATGGCTATGGAGTTTATTTCATTGCAGTCTTCATAGTAGGCAATAGCCTTTCCCATGAACAGGGGCAAAAGAGAATGAATGTTATGCTGCACTAATAGGAAAATTATGTTCAGGCCATTGAAACCATATATAGGTCAAGTCACACTTGGAATATAGTTTTCAGTTTTAGGTATTGTATTTTAAGAAAAGGATCTGTAAATGACTTATGGAGGGGAACTTGGAACTCAGATGTTCACTGGGGAAAGAGTTCTGGGAGGTGGGGACAGGAAGAGGAGAGAGAAGTAATAATTCAGTGGTTAAATAGTAAGTGTCAGCTGGGACAGGTAGAGTTTGATTCTCTATGGCTGCAGAGGGCAGAGTAAAATCAAGGTGAAAACAGGAGGTATATTTCATCTCCTCTTAAAGAGTTATTATCTGACAAGTAGAGTCACCAGAAAATTAAATGGGCTATCTTCATTAGTTAGTGAGCAAGTGTATTTAAATAAAAGGCATTCATCCTAACCAAGGCTTGATTGGCACCTGGATAAACCTAGCCGAGAACAGTGACATGCCACTCACGTTCAGGTGACCAGGAGAGGGCCCAGTGCAGACAACTAGAGAAAACATAATTAGGTGAGCAGCTGACTTCAGGACGGTTTGACTAAGCACTAAAATAGGAGGAGGGGCTGGGTTGGGGGTGATCCAAGTGGTGGTGTTAGCAACAGGCAGTGGACGTCTAGGGTAGGCCAGTAAGTAGCATCCAGTGGGTCTAACAACGGGCTACAGTGACTCATTGGGTGACTGGCCAGAGGGAGAGGGTATGGTCTTTGGTACCAAGATAGAGTTGGTTTCTAGATCCTCACAGAGGATCACAGTATCAGAAAACAAGTCATTAGAAGGGTTAAGAGACTAGACAGGGTTATCAAAAATATCAACTTGATGCGGAGCCAATTAATTACTGACCTTAGACATCTGTACCTAATGATCTAAAGTCCTATGGGCCCAGCATACAGGTGGAAATGAAAAGAATTGTTGCCCGGCTGGCATGGCCCAGTGGTTAAGCATTGACCTATGATCCAGGAGATTGCCGTTCGATTCCCTGTCAGGTCACATGCCCGGGTTTCAGTCTTGATCCCCAGTGGGGGGGGGGCATATAGGAGGCAGCCAATCAATGACTCATCATTGATGTTCCTGTCTCTCTCCCTCTCCCTTCCTGTCTCTGAAATCAATAAAGACATTTAAAACAAACAAAAGACAGAAAAGAATTGTTACTAGAGGTCAAGTAGGACCCAGCAGGGGAAGGAACTTTATAATTCATGAATTCCTTACCCATACTAAGGAGTAAGGAATAATGAGAATGACTTCCTAGTGTCTTCACCCCTCATTTCTGCTGTTGTGCCACTTGGTTTCCTGGCTCACCAGTTCACCACTGCCCCGAACTTCTCACCAAGACATTCTCACTGTTGGCCTGAGCTCTAAGGTGGGGCCCTGCAGACAGCGGGACCTGGTTGTGAGTTTCTGGATTTGCATAACCCCTGCACACTCTAGTTCAATTGCTGAGCCACGATGGCTGGGCTAAAAATATTTTTTATTGATTATTTTCGCGAGAGAGCCAGGGAGAGGGGCAGAGAGAGAGAGAAACATTGATATGAGAGCTATACATAGATCAGCTGCCTCGTGCATGTCCCATACCAGGGATCAAAACCACAACCCAGGCATGTACCCTGACTGGGAATTGAACCGGGAACCCTTCAGTGCATGGTTCATTGCCCAACTGAGCAGCACCAGGGCTCATCGGAACTGTTTTTGACTATTTGTCTTTTGCTTTTCAAAATTAGGCAGGTTGAGGCCCCTTCCTGACTGCCCTGTTTTCGTCAAAATTCAGCCCCATTTTGAGACGGGTCTTCTCATAGGAATTGGGGGAAATGTTTTTACGAGAAGCTGAAGAACCAGATTGAGAGAACCCAATACGGAAACTCGACAAGAGATATAAAATGCTCAGATTATTCTTTTGTGTGGAAACAGACAACTCCAGTAACAGATGAAATCTCTATTTCATTTAAAAAAGATAACAAAGGTAGAGAAGTAATAATACCAGAGACTTCAGCTGTCTACGTGCTGGTGGAATGTAGGTGTTATCGGGAATGTGACTTTAACCCAAGATGATTTAATTAGCAGTGTATGCTTTTCTTATTTTGTACATATTTTATGTGGTAATATTATTAAAATAGAAAAGTATTTTGTTTGATAGTACTGTAATTTGTGGTCATTTCAAAATCCTTTTGCTACAACATTGCTAAGGTTTTATAATTGAAACCAAGTTTCATTTAGACAAAGCTCACTAGCACAGAACAGGAGATTTACAAGCCCTCCTCTCCTCTTGCAGGATCTCTGTGGCCTCTGCAGCCTCTGATACTGTTACTCAATTGTTCTCACTACCCTTAGATTCCAAGACACCGACTCTGGTTTTCTTTTATTGTTTCCAGCTTTCCTCCTCTAATTCTTCTAGGGGTTTCTTCCTCTCCCTTAAATTTTCTTTTTTTTTATTGATTGATTTGTGAGAGGGAGAGGGAGAGAGAGAGAGGCATTGATTTGTTGTTCCACTTATTTGTGCATTCATTGGTTGCTTCTTGTGTGTGTCCTGACCAGGGTTTGAACCTGGAACCTTGGTGTATCGGTACGATGCTCTAACCAACTGAGCTACCTGGCCAGGGCCATCTCCCTTTTAAATATTCTATTTCCCCAGGGCCCTGTCATCAACCCTCTTTTCTGTCCACCTGATATGATACACTTTTGATATCTCATCTACTTTCATAGTATCAGTTATAAATTGTGCGAATGGCTCCGAAGTATACATGTCTAGTAAAAACATGCCTTTTGAACTAGAGATCTACATCCATCGTGACATTCTATAGACACCTCCTAACTAAGGGTCTTCCCTCCCCAACTCAAGCCTCCCCTTATATTTCTCATTGCAGTGTTTGGCACCACCATCTACCCAAAACAAAATACTGAGTCTTCCTAGTCTTCCATTTTATCATTTCTTTCTTTTTTTAAAATGTTTTTATTGACTTCAAATAGAGGAAGGAAGAGGGAGAGAGAGATAGACACATTAATGATGAGAGTCATGGATTAGCTGCCTTCTGCAGGCCCTCTACTGGGGATCGAGCCTGCAACCTGGGCACATGCCTTGACCAGGAATTGAGCCCTGGCCTCCTGGTTCATGGGTTGATGCTCAACCATTAAGCCACACCGGCCAGGCCCATTTCATCATTTCTATCCATTTAATCACCAAACCCTGTTTATTCTAGCTCTTAACTTTCTCTGAAACCTACACTCTTCTCTCAGGTCTACCTGGCACTGGGCTGTAAGCAGAGGCAGGAATCATATATGTATGGTTCCTATGGTGTGAGTCCCAGCACTGTAGCTAGTGTGCAGTCAGTGCTCAGTGTGTTGAGTGAGTAGATGGAGGCCAATGCCTTGGCTGAATTACAGCAACATTTCCCTAAGTGGCCACTGTGTTTCTTACGTCCTTTCAGTGTATTGCCTATACTGCCACTGGCATGATATATCTAAAATACAGTCCTAAAATACCTGTGAATATTTTAATGTGTATTTAAAAGATTTTTTAAAGGCTTTAAAAAATTATAAGCGTTATACTATTTGGTTATAATGCTAAAAATTTAACAATTATTCTTTCCTTTTTTTTACAAAATAATTTTTTTTTATTAGCCTTACTGGAAACCACTGTTGTTTAATATATCATTCAATATCTAATTTTGTTCAAATTTAAAATTTTCTCACTTCTCTTTTTAAAAAATTACAGTCTAAAAAATTATAATCCAAATAAAGTCCCTATGTTGCAATTGGTTGATGTATCTCAAGTTTCTTTTAACCTCTTTGATGTCTCTCCACCTGTTTGTTTTTCTTCTGCATCTCATTTGTTGAAGAAACCAACTTGTTTGTCCCGTGGAGTTTCCCACTGTCTGGACTGCAGCTGACTCAGTCTTTTGCTTTCCCGTGACGTGGGCCTTGGATCTAGTTATCAGTCCTAGACAGGTGGTGCTTTTCTCTCAGGCTCCTTTTAAGGCCTCTTTATTTTTAAGGTTCTGTGTTTTTATTAGTTTAATTTTTTATCATTGTTCATCATATGTGTTGCTTCCCATATCTGTGGACTTGTGTTTCCCTCCTGAGGAGAGAACACTGTGCATGTTGCTGATTTCCTCCCTCTCCCCCTCCCTTTTTTAAATCCTCGCCCAAGGATGTGCTTTTTCATTGACTCTAGAGGAAGGAAGAGGGAGAGAGAGAGAAAGAGACATCCACTGGTTGCCTCACGCACATACCCTGACCCGGAATCAAATCCTCAGCCCTTCGGTGTATGGGACAGCGCCCACCCAACTGAGCCACCCGGCCAGGGCTCCACTCCCTTTTCTCCGTCACTTTCTCTCTTCTCTGTCCTTCCCACCCCTCCAGTAAGTGACAGAATTCACAAGTCACGTGATGTGAGCTAACTGGAGTTAAACAAGATTTAAAAAATACATCAGATTATCCAAATATTGTTCGTAAAGTCAAATCAAATGACCAGAGTATGGTACATAAAACTATTAGGTTCTCCTCACCAAAGTTTGAACACTAAATTGGTCAGCAGCATTGACATCATGAATATCTACATGAAGTTTGAAACCATTTATTTAAAAGAATTTTAATAAGTTCTTGTCAATGTTGTACTTTTCTTCCTAGATCTCATATTTTGGATTCTGGCTGTATTATGATGAATGACACGTTGACATCAGATGTCATTGGTCAAAGGGTTGCAGTTAATGGAGAGCGTGCAACAGTGCGCTTTTATGGCCCTGTCCCTCCTGTGGCGGGTAATGTATGACTTGTGTGTATTTAGTAATTTCGTGTTTCTGTGTAGGCTTTTCAATAGTGCTGTATTAAGCCAATTTTGAGGAAACTAATAACCAACTTAATGATGCCTCCTATATACAGTTTTATTTGATGACAATATCCTGTGGTATCTATGGTTTTATTTACTTACACAATTTAATTATTTAGTGTTGCTATTTCATATTAATTCCACCTTAAAATATCTTCTGAGTAAACTTTAAATAACAAAAATGTCTTGGGGGGGTGGGGTTGAAGTGGAGGGGGTCAATGGGGGAAAAGAGAAATAAAAACAAAAAAATCTTGAATTATCATAATCCTAAACTCAAAAACTAAGTAATTTCTGAAATATCTTTTTTCATTAATCCATGTGTATCTATATGTATTTAATGTAGTTTAAATTGCTATAAATACAATTTCGTGTTACCTTTTTTTTCACTTATTATTTGGAATATATTTATTTGTGTTTCTACAGTATCATTCTACTTGTATTTTTTTAATTGAGATATTGGTTTCAGGTGTACAACATAATGATTCGATATTTGTATATATTGTGATGTGATCACCACAGTAAGTCTAGTTAACATCCATCATGATATATTGTTACAGATTTTTTTCTTGTGATGAGAACTTTTAAGATCTACTTTATTAGCTCCCTGCAAGTATACAATACAGTAGTATTAACTGTAGTGACCACACTGTGCATTACATCCCCATTACTAACTGTAGTCTCCTTGCTGTGAATTAAAACTGGAAGACTACATCTTTTGAATCCCTTCATGCATTTCATGCATTTCTTCCACCCCGAACCCCCCAAACTCTGCCTCTGGCAACCACCAATCTGTTCTCTGTATCTATGAGTTCTTTTTTAAGATTCCACCTGTAAGTGAATTACATGGTATTTGTCTTTCTCTGTCTGACTTATTTCACTTAGCATACTGCTTTCAAGGTCTATCCATGTTGTCAAAAGTGGCAAGATAGCCTTCCTTTTTATAGCTGTTAGTTTACGTTGTGTGTGTATATACCACGTGCTTTCTGTCAGTCCTCTGTTGGTGGATGCTTCAGTACTCCCATGTCTCGGCTACTGTGCATGACTGTACATACTCCCATGTGCCACCGACAGTACATGAGCCCTTTACTCCACATCCTCACCAGCACTTGTCATTTCTTGCCTTTTTGATACTAGCCATTCTGACAGGTGTGAGGTGAAATCTCATTGTGGTTTGGATTTGTATCTCCCTGATTATTAGTGATGTTGAGCACCTGTTCATGTACCTTTTGGCCATCTGTATTTCTTCTTTGGAAAGATATCTGTTTGGACCCTCTGCCCATTTTTTAATTAGATTATTTGGGAGTTTTTGCTGTAGATTTGTATGAGTTCTTTATATATTTTGGGTATTAACTCCTTGTCAAATACATGATTTGCATATATTTTCTCCCATTGAGTAGGTTGCCTTTCATTCTTTTGCTGGTTTTACTTGTAATTTCTAGTTTTATACTTTTGTAAATAACAGTAAATATTTGAGTATCTTCTATATATTAGGAACTGGCTGTATCTTCTATATATTAGGAACTGTTCTGAATCGGTTCAGGGAGATTCAGTGACATACTTAGGTCAGAGGGTCTCAAAGCAAGGTCCCTGACCAGTATCAGCATCACTTGGTTACTTGTTAGAAATGCAAATTCTTAGGCCTCACTCCAGGACTACTGAACCAAAAACTCTGGAGGGGGAGCCCAACAATCTGTGTTTTAAGAAGCCCTTTGGGGGATTCTGATACTCACTAAGGTTTGAGAACCACTGAACTAGATGGGCCTCTGCCTTCATGGACCTAAAGTTACTGTGGAAGTCTTTTACCTGACCCCGTGGGGCACTCTGAAACTAGGATGGCCTTCAGCCTTTCCTACTTAAACATACTTAATATGGAGAGGGCATTTTTCCTTGTGTGACTGGGATTATTCATAAATTGAAAGAGAAAGTAGCATTTAACCTTAAGTCAGCTGATTAGCAACCTTAATTGCTAATTAAGCAATCACTGTGTGCCAGGTGCTTTCACTTATGCTCTCTACTTTGAACGTTGTAACACCTCTAAAATACAGACTCTGTTAGTCCCACTTTTGTTGTTGTTAATCCTCCTCAGAGGATATTTTTTCCATTGATTTTTTTTTTGAGAGAGTGAAAGGAAGGGATAAAAGGGAGAGGGAGAAAGAGGGAGAGAGAAACATCAATGTGAGAGGACACATCAGTTGGTTGCTTCCCGCACGTGCCCTGAGCCAGGATGGAACCTGCAACCCTTGACTGGGAATTGAACCTGTGACCCTTTGGTGCACAGGCCAATGGTCTAACCTTGGAGCCATGCCAGCCAGGGCAGTCCCATTTTTTTTAATAGATGAGAGCAAGACTCAGGTCTCAAAGCTTTCATATAGCAAAGCTGTGCTTCAGAGTTCGTGTCCTTTCCACCCTATTGTGTCTCAAAAATATGAATATTTTAAGGTTCTTGATGTATGTTGCCAAATTGCTGTCTGAAAGTATTGGATCAATGTCCAGTACTTGGAAATGTCCAATACCTCAGTTCTCTGGGAAGCTGATTCAGATGGAGATTTACATTCAGGAAGTTTAGTGTTCAGAAAGTTTATTAAGAGTACCCTTGGGATCAATCCTAATGGAAGGAAAGGGAGCAGGATTGGGTGGAGGGAGAAGTTGGGCTGTGATGGGATCTGGTCAAAGGTGCATCTGACCCTGTGGGGCACTCTGAAGCCTTCAGTCTTTCTTAGTTGAGATGAGGCCTGGGCATTTACACCTTTGTGGTGATCTGTCATTAGGTTGCCCTAGGAAGGGGGTGTGCCCTTGAGCAAGGTGATTTTTCCAGTGCAGACAATTCTGAAAGAGGGGCCACAGTGGAAGGCTAACCTACTAAAACCAGCATTCGCAGCAGCTGAAGGAAATAAGCTCAGCTCCTAAAGGCAGACTGGAGGGGTGCAGCGCAAGTACAGTAATACAGTTGGAAGCAACTTAACAGTAGTTTAGCGAACATGAGGTCGTGCTTGCTATTTTAATTCATTAAGTTGCCTGTGAGTTTGACACATTTTTCATATATGTATCATGAGGCAATCCCCCCCCCCTGAAAATTACAACTGTGCAAAGAGGGAGCGGCCTTACGCTTATTCCTTACTATCTCATATGGGGCGTGCTTTCTCTCCGTGACTTTACCTCAGCTGATACTGTTGGGCTTCTCGTAGAGATCACCTGATGGGATTGGTACAGAGAGGCAGAGAAATTGAACACAGATTTAGTAATTACTCCTGGGTTACTGCACTGAATGTTGCTGTAGTGTTGTTGCCACAGCTAAATGAGTTTCAGTATTTAAAGCACTTGGACCAGTTACTGGTGCACAGTGTTAGCTGTTGTAAATAAACATGTAAAAATTACTTTAAAAAGAAATACAACGACAACAGCAAAGAAATACAACAGTCCTAATGTTTGGCAATTGGCAACTTGTGGTTGGAAATTTAACTTCCTGAGCTAGAATCATACATGGATTTAAATAAATGTTATGTCTTAAAAGTGTTTAGATGGAAGTAAAGATGATGATGGGCTGTGGTGGGCAGGAAACCCCCCCCCCGGGTCTCCAGACCCTGGGGCACTGTGTTAGGTTACTTGTGGCAGAAGAGAATTAGGGTGGCAGGTGGATTAAGGTTGCTCATCAGTGACTGGAAGATAGGGAGGTGACGCAGGTGGGCCCAATGGCAGCACCAGGGTCTTAGCAGAATCGGGAGGCGGAAGAACTGCGCGAGTGGGAGGTGAGCGGAGGTGACTGCGGGCTGTGAAGGTGGCGGGGCCCGGCCTGGAACCTGTGCGCCTCTAAAGCGGGAAAGGGCGCGGGTTTTCCTCTGAGCCTGTAGCGGGCAGCCCCGGCGGCGCCTGCATCGCGGCCCAGCGAGACCCTCCTCTGACTTGACCTTCAGAGCCGTCAGGTGGCTTGTGTTGTTTTAGAGCAGCCACAGGAACCAGTGCTCACCTGGGCAGTTGCGTGACCGGCTCTAAAGCGTCGCTTGTGGAGGTGCCGGGGCCGGGGCCCGAGCGGAGGGAAGGAGCCCGAGAGGCCGGGACCGCGCGCCTCCCGGGCCGGGCGGGACC